CTTCCTTTTCCTCTCTTCTCTACTCCATTTCCTCCCTCCAACAAATTACAAATGACTTAAAGGTGGTGCGCAGGACCCGAGATCAAGGGAGAAGAGAAAGCAGGCCATAGTGTTTGGGGACAAAAGAGTGGACATGAATTTAACAAACTATGTAAATGACCTGAGGACCAGCCCATGATTATCTGTGTAATGTGGAAAGCCCGATGCTGAGGACACGGTGTTGAGATACACTGCATGGCTGAGACCACCACTGAACTGTGCGGGCCTCCCCAGATCTCAACCTCCACATCCCCCAAAGCACTAGGCTTTTTGCAGGTACACATAACCCCTTCTCCTCCCAAATTAACGTTTTCCTCCCCATCCCTGCCTTGGAAGAGTTAAGTCCCCGGCAAAGGATCCGAGAGAGCGCTCCCGGGTAAAACGCTAGGTGCAGGTTATGCGCTATTATAGCAACGGGAGCCATGAGGTAGGAGCCGTGCAGAAACTCAGCTACGGATGTTGTCACAACCCTGAAAACCACGGGAGGGAAACGGCGAGGGTCTCGGACAGCCAGGCGTGTGAGGCTCCAATGGGGCGCGGTCGCGGGGACGGAGCTCGGCAGGCTCCCGAGGCCGCCGCCCCGCCCCGCAGCCACGCAAGGCCAGCCTGGGACACTGACGTGACCCAAGGAACGTTAAAACAGCTTCTCCAAACTCCCGGCGCCCACGCCGTTAACACCAGCTCGCGTCCCTCCCTTCCCCTTCCCGGCCCTAAAGGCGCCGGGCGCCACTGCGAGGCGGGCCCGACCCTTCCAACCCCGCGTCCGACAGCCGCCAATCAGCAGGCCGCCGTGGGGGACGCGCGGTCTCGGCCAGTCAGAGAGAGGGAAGGCGGTGCCGAGCGTGCCCGTTGGCTTTCGGGATTTAAACCTCGGCGACCTGACGGTTAACGGCAGGCTGGGCGTGTGGGGATGCGCTGCGCCCTCGGCGGCTGCCGAACGCTCACCGAATCCCGGGAGGTGCGGTGAGGTGAGTGGGCCGACGTGAGGGTGCGGCCCGTCCGCTGCTGCGGGAGCCCGAGCCCGTCCCTTTCCCCACGCCGGCCCCCGGGTGTGTTTGGCCGGGATGTCTCCCCGGGCGCGGCGCCGCTGCAGTGGGCAGTGCGGCCCTCGAGGTCACAATGTGTGCTGCCCGCCGCGGGCGCAGGGGCGTCGGGGCCGAGGACGGAGCCCGGGGAAGGGGAGGTCCCGGGGGGCGATCCTGGACAGAGCCGCGCCCACAGGGGGCGACACGGGCACCCAGCCTGGTCACCCCATTACCTTTTCAGATCCTTGCCCGGTGAGGTGGCATAGGAGCGGGTAAAACTGAAGCGCTCTAGGTAGGCCCACGTTTTAAAAATGTATTCTGCTTTAGGATAACAAAAATTTCTAATTAATAAGAACATTAAGAGTTCCTTTTAGAATGCCGGTGTGTGTGACCTTCCGTCATTCCGTCCCGGGTTAAACTGTGTGCAGTGTCTGCCATCCTCTTCCATGGGTTTATTCCATGGAGATAAATTGGACAAGAATTTGCTTTGCATGTATGTGTATGTGTCTGTACAAATAAATACAAGCAGCAGTAATGAGGTAAAAAGAAGGAAATAGTGGTAATTCGTCAGCTGCTGATAGTCATTGGATAAAACGCTGCTCACATTTGGGTTACCACAGCTGTAGTGTGAACACATGCCCTGTTGAATCAGTTGCTCATTGGCAGCTGACTTCTGGCAGCTGTAAATGTCCATTACTGTTTTAATGGATGCATAGCATTTCTTGTCAACACTGGATTGTATTGTGTACATGAGTACTTGAAAAAGTTCTTGGAAAATGCACACTATGGAAAAAACTATTTTCAAAATTTTTGGACCAAAATAAGCATCTTTTGATTATATTTCCATGTTGCTTAACTGATCTCTACTGATGGACATTTATGTTACCAGTAAATATCTTTATGGTCATAAAATCTCTTAGTATAGTAGTGGTCACCTGTTCACCTACATGTTTGCCTTCTTATCCATTTTGTCTCCTTATCCTGGAAGGGAATGTGGTATAGAATCTGATATGTACTGCACTGCCCTCCGGAAAAACTGATTTCTTTGTAAGTTTTTAGTAGGTCAGCTGCCTTCTCTCTGTTGAGATTCTGATGTGTAATGTCTGAAAAGATTGCCAGGCCTTTATAGCAAAGCAAAAAAATTAACAGCCACCATTGACCTGACTGAAGTCTGTATTTTACTGATTGCAAACATCTAGGTTTATTTGGAAGGAAGAGTGGCAGAAATCTTGAGCTCATTGGTCCCTCCCCCGAATGCCAGTGGTCAGGGCTGGATGGGACTGCAGCCAGGAGCCAGGACCTCCATCCAGACCCCCCCTGTAGGTGGCAAGGGCTCAAGTACTGCCGCCATCATCCTCAGTAGTAGACTGGGGACTCTCACCTGTCCTTGGATATGGAGTGTAGGTACCTGAAGCAGGAGCTTAGCCCACTGTGTTACAGTGCCCAGCCCATATCAAAGATGAGGTTACTAATGGGGGATAGAGGAAGGAGATGGTGGGGGAGAGGGAGGAGGAAGCCCAACACCTGCAAATTGTAAAACAGAACATAAGAATAAAAAACAATTGAGGTTACTAAATCCTTATTTATAGTTAATACCTTGAAAGGATTTTACTGAAGATCTGGGGTCTTCTGTAACTACTTTGCCTCTACAAACTGAACTAGTGTCTGGCTCTTAGTTAAGGCTTTTCCACTCACATAGCACTGCTCTAAAGTTGCATTCCTACAAAAAGAAATGAAGGCTGGATGGTTTGGGGCAGTGGTAAAGACACTGCTTAAAATGCCCACTTGCCAGATTACAGTGCTTAGGCCCAAGTCCTGACACTGGGTCCGGTTTCAGCTTCGTGCATTGCAATAAATAAAAATTTTTCACAATTAATACAATTATTGAGAAATGATTTGTTACTCTTTTCTTCTTTTCTAGGTGTTTTTTGTGTTGTTGGGTTTTTTTTTTTAAATACTAATGTCAATCAAGAAACATTGAAAAAAGGTAAGAAATTGAAAAAATAACTTTTGGTTTGCTTGTTTAGGGATTTTCTGCAATGCTCAATAATTACACTAAAAGGTGGGGGGGGGGGGAACCTTCACATCAAAATTGAAGGTTGTAGTAATTATACCTCAAGAACATGAAGGACATAATGTCGGCTAGCCAGCTCCTAAAAAGTAATTATGATTCAAAATCCAGAAGACCTTTTTAGTACAGCTGGCTACTCTAAATAAAAATCTTGTTACTTTATGCCATTCATCATTAACAGGAGTATGTGCACCTTTCCTGCTGGGCCGTGCGACTTGGACGGTCACTTCCCTTTTCTCATGCTGACTTCCTACCATTAGAACTTTTCTGTTACATCTTTTTATACTCTTCTCTCCTTCAGCATTTAGCATTATCAGTTTGCTCTCTGCATGTTAGTACTGTTTGAATTAATCCATATGCCAGTTATATTTTTTGAGTAGCAGCTTGTGGCCAAAACCATGGGAGAGTAATTCAAGAAAGTTCATGGAATAACTGAATTACACAATAAGTTTAATTTGATTAGAAAATAAGACTGAAGTCCATGTATAGCTTTTCATAATAGGCAATTTGCATTAACTTTTTGAAGGTTTTTTACGTGCATGGATGTTGAAATGTTTTGCACCAGAAAAATACTGTTCTCCCTGGATTCTTAAACAGATAAGAAAAAAATTAACTTGTCAGTTGGTGAATAAATCTTATAATTTCATAGGCATATGGTATGATTATATGGGTAACACTGTAATCATGAAAATTATTACTGAGACAAAAGGTCTGAGTTCATTTACTTGAAGAGATCTGAACTCTTGAATATTTATATATATTGATGCTTGTCAGTAGTATTTTGAGGGTCCCTTACCAAGTTTGCTTCAAGAATAAGGAAAGCCCCACTTCATTTTCCTATCTCAATATCTGGGTGCCACTGGCCACTAATAGATCTGAAACTAGGAATTAACCTGAGAGCTCCTTTCTGTTGAACTACTGCTTTTAATGTCTTAATCTGCAATTCAGATACCTCTGCCTCCATTCCTCTGACTACAAATCTAGACAGTCATTACACTGAGCCTACCAGGCCCCCTGCCTTCAGTCTTATCTCCTTTCAAACTACAGAATTCCTGGAGCAATGTTTGAATTTAGGATTCTATATGGATTTTGTACTTTCCTCAGTGGCCACTCAAGTTAGAATCAGATTTTTACGGAAGATTTATAGTTGTAGCCCTTGCTTACTATATTCATGTCACCCTCAAGTCACACTGAAGTACAGCTGGCTGTGTCCACAGGTTCCACATCCAGATTCAACTAACTGGCATCAAACACTCAAGGAAAGCAGAAAACTACATCTGTTTTAAGCAAGTACTTTCTGGTTCAGGTAGAGTCTGGAGCCAGTTCCCCCTTCGTGTACTGTATTATAGTACCTGAATGCATGTGATGTAATCTCTAAAGAAGCTGCAGCTTCTTTCCCAGACACACCTAAGAGCTTCATTTCCCTAACTGGTTCCTTGTTTTTTTTCTAAAGATTTATATTTTATTTTATTTATTTATTTTAATGGCAGATATACAGAGAAGGAAGTAACACAGAAAGATCTTCCATCTGCTAATTCACTCCCCAATGGCCAGAGCTGAGGCAATCCAAAGCCAGGAGCTAGGAGCCTCTTCCGGGTCTCCCTTGGGAGCATGGGGTCCCAAGGCTTTGGGCTATCCTCCACAACTTTCCCAGGCCACAAGCAGGAAGATGGATGGGAAGTGGAGCAGCCAGAACACGAATCAGCACCCATATGGGATCCTAGCAGATGTAAGGCGAGGACTCTAGCCACTAGGTTAACCTCACCGGGCCTCCTCTTTGTTTTTAAACTACTAGACCATGGATGGAAAACACTGTCGTCCATGAATGAATGTTTCAAAGAATAAGCAACAGAGACCATTTATGGTTCATAGAACCTAAAAACATTTATTTACTCTGTGGTTCATCCTAGGAAATTTTCCAACCTCTGCAGTAGATTTACAAGCTTTGTAATAAAAGCTTCTATACCTTAGACACCAGTAAGAACATTTTCTAAAGATCTCAGTACAAGGCAGAGGTTTCCAGGAAGACACAAACGAATCCCTCAATCTCACAAGGGCAAATCTTATGAAATTTTAGGCCTTCTTGCAGCAAATACTACCTTTGTATGTCTTTTCTGTCTTCCCATCACTGTGTGGTTGTTGCTTTCTAGATCCTGGTGGATTTTCTATGATGAAATAATACTTTTAATTTCTGTATCAACACAGATCTTCTTTGTTGGAGTCTCAAAAATAGCATTTTCCTCTAGTTTGTCATTACAGTCCCTTTTGCCTTTGGTTTCTTCCTTGTGGAGTAATTGTGGATCCTCGATGCGTCCCCTACGTACAAAATGCTGGATCCGGGATTCCAATCCTTGGCATTTGGGACGATCCATGAGGGGCTTATATGTGCGCATTTTCACCCCTTCTATAAAGGCACTGATGTGTTTTATGACAGGGGGCTTAACATTTCTCCATTCTATCATTCCATCCGTTGTTGGTCCTGTCCTACAAGATACTGCAACAGAGTCCAGTCCCTGTAACATGCTATATAACATATGAGTTTTGACAGCATGATTGGCCCATAGTTGCTGTAGGTGGGTGACATTGAACTGCTGAACCTCCTGGTCATAGATCCACTTGATATTTTCAAACTTACAATCATATAAGACAAGAGGGAATTCAACAGCCATACTAGAGGAAAAAAAAAAAAACCAGTATGAGAACACAAACCAGCCACTAAACAATTCTTCCAATACCCAAGGTTACTGAGTTGAGGTGGGGGGGCAGGGGGAGGGGAGTAGAGCACGAGGTCAATAGTGAGGATCTAACAGCTACAAAAAGGTACTGTTTGGGGGCCAGTGAATTGGCACAGAAGATGAAGACACCACCTTAGTGCTGGTTCAAGCCGTAGTTCAGCTAATGCATGGGGGAAAGGAACAGAAGATTGCCCAGTGCTGAGCCTTTGTCACCACATGGAAGATCTGATTCTGGCCTGGCTATTGTGCATTGTGGCCATGTGGGGAATGAACCAGCAGATAGAAGAACTCTGTGTATTCTGCATTTCAGATAAATAAAAGATTAGAAGTATGCTTGGAATTAATTAAAAAATAAAAACAGTTATTAACCTTGAACTGCTTATTGTTATTATAGAAAATGCAACAAACAATGGTTCACCTGATATAAACTTATATCAGGTAATTGTCAGTGGTGTAACAAACCACCTGGGCTTACTGATGTAGCTCCCTCAAACTGATTTAAAATTTAAAACAACTTGGTATTTTTCTAAATTTGTTAAGAACATCCAAAATTTTCATGACTAAGTTTTTATAACTTAGGAATGAATTAACATCTGTCTGAGCTCACCCTAGTCTCAAGAGAAAATCTTATTATTTCTGCATTTACAGACAAAAAGTATAGTAGAATGACAACTAAATGCTACAAAAGAAGCAATCTTTAATATGAATAATTTGAATAGACCAATTTCAGCAAACCGTAAAAAGACTTCGTAACATAAATTCAGAAACACCACCATCAAAAAAAAAAAAGGATGAAGTAAATGTCCTGTTACTAAGCAGTTTGGTCCAAACACCTATTTCCTCATTAATGGCTCTAACAATGAGAAAAAATTAGAAGATAATAATCCCTTCTACACATCCATAATATCCTACAAATTAAAAGCTTTATGAAAGAAGAATCAGTTATTTAAGCAAGCATGAATGATGGGAAAGAAGGCTTTTTGGGAGGTTTTCTTTGGCCTTTTAACTTACCTATATTGAGGTTTCTGGGGATTTTTCTCTACATTCAGCAGCTCATCAATGATGTCTGGTTTCTCCATTCCTTGGCCAATCAGAAAGAGAATAGCCATCATACAACGGACTTGATGGTAAAGGAATGCCTGGCCAGTCACTTCAAATTGACATAACTGGAAAGGGTCTTGCCATCTCTCCTCGCCCACTAACTGTACCTGAGCAGACAGAATAGTTCTCTGAAAATTGATAACTCCATTGGCTACATCCATTTTACACAAATTCCTGAAATCATGCGTGCCAACATACTTCTGGGCTGCGCAGTTCATGGTTTCAATATCTAAATCGGCACGAGGGAAAAAATAGCGGTAAGTCCGCTCAAGACAACTGAACCTGGCACTGAAGCCAGGATCTACAGGGGCCCAGGCCAGTACACGGATGTCTGGAGGGAGCACCCGATTGAGGATGTGAGTATAATGGATCTCCTTAGCAGCATCACTGGTTTCATCTTTCAGGTTACAGTCTTCTGAATCTCTGGCCATTGGAAACTGAGAACGAAGGTCAAGAGAAATGACCTGTGGAATTTTAAAAAAACAATGTATTTTACAAATGCAAATCTCTGTTCTATTATAGTATGTCTAGAATATTCTTCTATCACTTTAAGAAACAATATGCTGGCCCTTACCTGGCCAAAGGCACTCACTCCTTTGTCTGTTCGTCCACATCGGTGATAGTTGGATGTCTGCCTGCTTTCTACTAGTCGAGTCTTGGTTAATGCCTCAAACAATTTCTCTTCAATGGTGTTGGTTGTGTTTTCCTGACTAGCAAAGCCTTGGTATCCCCAGCCGAGATAAGCTACTCTTAGGGCTACATGCCTTCGGCCGTGTGCACTGAAATCAAACGTCCGCTTAGCCTTTCCAGCTCCAGAAGAGTGTCCTCTAACATTTGAGTCCTTGTTATTGATCTGTTCCTTTTTAAGTTGTTGCACCTCCTGTTCCAGTTCTTGTATTCTTTTTAGGAGTTTCTCAGTCTGACTTCTGTCTATGTCATTTTCAGCCATGATAATGACAATTCCACTTGAACAAATCATACAGGTCCACACTTCCTGAAAAGAGAACAAAGGATATCAGTTTTATTGCCTGTTCCTTTGTTGATTTCAGTACTCTCAGATTGTATGTAAGATTGAAAGCCAAATAAGGCAGAATGTTTTGCTTTCCCAGGGATACAAGCATTAGCTTAATTACCACAAATCAATTAGCAACAGGATATTCTTTTCCACTGTCCTGCCAGTTCACAAGGAAAAACATTCAACTGTCATTGCTGAGATTTTCAAAGTAATCAAAAATCTGTTTTTTTTTTCCCTGTTCTTAAATAGCTGACAGAGGACTAATACTGATACTTTTTCCCTAGAGCATTTCATTCTCATTTGTGTACTATCTCAAGGTTTCTCTCTATGGGCTACTTAAGCCTACTCAAGGTTCTGTTACTTTCCATTATTTTGGTGGTTTACATGTACTGTTTTCTAACACTCAGTTTTGTCTTACAGGTGGTGCAACAGAAGCTAGCCTAACTGAAAAAACGTATCAATGATTATATTTAACACTGGAAGTAGAACCTGGAGACAAGATTTTCTCACTTTAAACAATTTTGATGGCAGAAAAAAGGTAAGTAAGCATCTCTGACTTTAAGCTGAATATAACACTTGCTTTGGTAAGAGTTCTGTACTTTTTACAAATGTCTTGTCACAGAGATGTCAGTTGAAATTCTAGGTATGTATTTCAATAATCTGTCAGTTCCTTTAGTTACAGAAGATATGTCTCCATTCTGAAGGTTGATTTGTGAGTTTCTGTATGACAGGTAGATTAAAAGTTTAAATGTGGGCCAGAGCTGTGATGTATCAGGTAAAGCTGCTGCTTCCAGTGCCAGCATCTCACATGGGGGTTGGCTCAGGTCCTGGCTGCCCCACTTCAAGTCCAGCTCCCTGATAATATACCCGGGAAAGCAGAATATGTCTCAAGTGGATCCTGTTCCCACATAGAAGAAGCTCCTGGCTCCCCACTTCGGCCTGGTCCAGCAACCAGTTGGGAACTAAAACCAGTGGATGAAAGACATCTCTCTTTCTCTGTAGTACTGCATTTCAGACAAAAAGAAAAAAAAAGTCTAAATGTAAGATATTAAATTTCATGTTCTATAATTTTTCTATAATCTTGGAGATAACCATTTCTAAATAAAACACTATAGAAAACAAAAAAGTTTGACACGTAAAAAACATTTCTGCCAGTAAAAAATCAACCAGAGGGTAGATGATCTCTCTTTGTCTTTTTTGCGGGACTTCTTGCCTCTCTACATTGCAAATGAATAAATAAGAAAAAAATTTAAAGTATATAAAGAGATTCAGTTTTACTCAGAGAAATAAAGTGTGTGAGAAATATGAGAGATGATACATTTACATAGTAGGTCATTTTTGAAAGAGATGGAGACTCGAACTGTTGGCACAGCGTCAGAGGTAAGATTTTGGCAAGTTCTCAAGATTAAGCACATTACGAACCTTTGACCCACACATGCCATGTGTAGACATGTAAAAACCTACACAGTTCTTGTTGTAATATGTTTTTAATAACTGAATCCATATAAGTAGAGAATTATCTTATAAATTACAGTGTATCCATACACTGGGATTCTAAGCAACTTTAAACAAAATGAAGTCTTCATGAACTGAGGTAGCTTGGTTATCATGGTTATCTTTTAAGGTTTGAAGAGTTATGTTAACAGAAAATTATAGAGAAATCATAGAAACTGCCTCTAAGTGCAACATGACGGGATGGAGACAAAAAGGGCGGGAGTCCCTGCTTAAGTTATGTGTCTTAGTTTTTCAGTTTAAAAAGAGAAATAGGGCAAGCTTTGTGGCATAGGAAGTTAAGGTGCCACCTGCCAATCCAGCTCCCCACTAATGCACCTGGGAAAGCAGAGAACAATGTCCCAAGAACATGGGTTCCTGCCACTAGGTGGGAGACCCAGCTGAAGGCTGCTGGCTTCAGCCTGTCAACAGTCTTGATGGATGCAGGCACTTGTGGAGTAAATATCAACACTGGATAATAGTGGTCAACAGATATGCATGTTAGGTCCAGTAAGAAAATAAAAATGGATATTTGGTTGACTGGAGTAATAAAAATTATTTCAGTGACAGGGTACTACAATGAACAGATTTATCTGGGCAACTACAGCTGCATTAAAATTAAGTGTATGGGCCCGGCGCGGTGGCGCAAGTGGTTAAAGGTCCTCGCCTTGCACGCCCGGGATCCCATATGGGCGCCGGTTCTAATCCCGGCAGCCCCGCTTCCCTTCCAGCTCCCTGCCTGTGGCCTGGGAAAGCAGTCGAGGACGACCCAACGCTTTGGGAACCTGCACCCGTGTGGGAGACCCGGAAGAGGCTCCTGGCTTCGGATCGGCATAGTATCGGCCCGTTGCGCTCACTTGGGGAGTGAATCATTGGACGGAAGATCTTCCTCTCTGTCTCTCCTCTCTGTATATCCGCCTTTCCAATGAAAAAATAATAAAAATAAATCTTTAAAAAAAAAAAAAAATTAAGTGTATGCACACATACATGAATGTATGTAAGCACAATGTAGTCTTTGTGGTGGTTTTTTAGATTGATAAAAGACTTGTGGTTTTCAAATGAGGGCACAGTCTGAAGTCAGAACTCTAGCTTCAGTAGCCACTAAAGAACCTTGGGCAAGCTGTCCCTTCACAGCCTCATAATTTTAAGGATTATGTAAGCCAGTGTAAAGCACTAGTACAAAGCCAGTAGTAGAAAGTACTAAGTGCCTGGTGCTTACTGTACGTTGAGGACTGTGCCTTGAACAGATAGTCTTCAGCTTCTCTTATGCCAGAACTCACCGATCCTATCATAGGAACTAAAGGTGGCAAAATATTAGAGGAAGAGAGTGAATACTCACATCGAGTCCTTAGAGATGAGTAAATGGCCCCTCCATACCGCCAGCATCACTATCTTACTATAATTACTGAAATGTTGCCTTATTCATTCTCCCTTTGAGGGAACTGATCGCTTGTTACCAGAAAACTGACTGGCATTCTCTCTTGCAGATGGCCACACGTTGTAGGGGAAGCAATGAAGGAACTCATGGGACCTGATGGACAAACATGGGCCAATATGGATCCAGAAGAACGAAATTTAGCAGCTGCTACAGCTTTAGCCCACATTTGTGCAAGACAGGGTGAAGGAGATGTCAGGAGAGAAGCCCAGTCTACTCAGTACGATCCCTACAGTAAAGCTTCAGTGACCCCAGGGAAGACAGCTGCTCTTCCTGTGCAACTACAGTACCCACATGTAGAAAGTAATGTCACTTCAGAAACAGGCTCAGAAGTCTCCCAAAGACTGAGAAAGCCAGTGATGAAAAGAAAAGTGCTCCGGAGAAAGCCAGATGGGGAGGTGTTAGTTACAGATGAGTCGATGGTCAGCGAATCAGAATCCGGTACAGAAAGTGATCTGTATCTCTGTGACTTAAGACAAAAGCTGATGAATCTGCAGTTCCAAGAAGACAGGGAATCCCCAGTTGATATTTCACAAAAATTTAATCCACCACATGAATACCAAGGAATCTCTCAAGATCAGTTCATTTGCTATCTGCAAAGAGAAGGAATGGGCCCCCAGGCTTATGAACAAGACCTGATTGTTGCCAGCAGACCTAAGTCCTTCATTCTTCCCAAACTGGACCAGTTAAGCCGCAATCGAGGCAAGATAGACCGTGTAGCCCGATATTTTGAGTACAAACGTGACTGGGATTCAATGCGACTACCTGGTGAAGACCACAGGAAGGAGTTACGCTGGGGCATCCGAGAGCAGATGCTCTGTAGAGCAGAACCCCAGCCCAAACCTCAGCACATCTATGTTCCAAACAACTACCTAGTACCAACTGAGAAGAAAAGATCCGCCCTCCGTTGGGGTGTTCGTTGTGACCTTGCAAATGGGGTCATGCCCAGGAAACTTCCCTTTCCTCTCTTTCCTTCCTGAGTTGTCTTGCTATTCTCTCCTCTCACAGGGCAGGAAGGAAGAGACTTAAATAACCCACAGAAAATTAGAGTACAAACTTTACCCATCATTGGTCTCTCTGAGCTGATTACCCCTCTCAAATTCAGCAGTTGTAAAAGAAATCATTCCAGAGAAAGGCGCAGGCACGGCCCTCCTATTCTGTCAGATCAGTAAGGAACACTTCCTTCCTGCTGTTTGATGTTATTTCTGTGTTTTAATATGTGCTGGGCAATATCTATTAAAGAATTTTGGAAATGTATGAGCTTGAACCCTATTTTTATTACTTTCCAAAGTAAGATCTCAAACCTGAAAGAAAATTCTACTTTTGGTCCCCACTGTACTCTCACCACCAAATGAATGACAGCTAATGGGAATGAAGAACACAAACTACCCTTCACACATAGTACTAAAGAGGTAACAGCAGCGGTAATTACCATCGCTAATAGAGTACTTCAGATAGCTATGTAGATAGAAAAATCCAAACTCATTGGTTTCAGTTTTCTGAGTATTTTTGTCCTCAAACCGTTGTCTTCCAGAATACAATGACTTATCAGACTCTTAGAAATGCTTGTCACTTGAAAGCTTCTCCTCCTCTGCAGTAGAATTTCAAACTGCTAACATCTGGAGTCATGCAGGTTCCATACCAAAATCTGGCCTGTTTAGGTGCGGAACAAAATAACAACTGCAAGTCTTATATTGCAATTTGTATTTAATACAATGCAATGAAGAAAATCTAAAATCTGGGAAGTCAGTTTCAGCATTTTAAGACTTAGAATGTTTGCTCATTGAAAGCTTTTTTAACATGTATGACCTTGGGCCCGGGGCGGTGACCTAGCAGCTACAGTTCCCGCCTTGAACATGCTGGGATCCCATATAGGCGCTGGTTCTAATCCCAGCAGCTCCACTTCCCATCTAGCTCCCAGCTTGTGGCCTGGGAAAGCAGTCTAGGATGGCCCAAAGCCTTGGGACCCTGCACCCGCATGGGAGACCGGAGGAAGTTCCTGGCTCCTGGCTCCGGATCGGCACAGACCAGCCGTTGCAGTCACTTGTGGAGTGAATCATCAGATGGAAGATCTTCCTGTCTCTCCTCCTCTCTGTATATCTGACTTTGTAATGAAAATAAATCTTTAAAAAACAACATATATGACCTTAACCATTAATACCTGCTAAAATTCATTTTGTCTGTAATAAATTCTGCCAGCTCTATTGCTTAGGCATTTAACAGGAGAATCTGTGACTACAAGATAGATGTAGAATACACTCACTTGCAAATAAGTAAAAAATGAAAAACATTTGATAGTTCAGGGCAAGGAAACATCTGAATATCTTCAAATGTCAAAATACTGATACGCTGTAAACAATCCCAGTCACATAGTGTGTACACAATGAAGAGCACGGAGCAAGATGAAAGCCACTCAGGTCTTGAGTGGCTTTAAAAGTACCTTTAGTTTTTATTCCTGTTTTCTTGGAAAACAAAATTGCATGTCTTACATACAAATTCTTTACCCTCTTTATCTGGGCCTTAATCAGTTCCCTAACCGGCTATCAAGTATTATTAAGCGGCCAGCATGTGGTAACAGCCTCTAGCCAAGCTGTCCACAGCACACCTGCACCCCAGTGTAGGAGCTCCCAACAGATACAACAGTGCAGTCATCACTTAACCATGAAAGGAATCTGCACGTTACACCTCGTCTGTAGAAGGGGCATCGTCACTCAATCTTACATTGTTGCATTTTAAAAGCTTAATCTGGGAAAGTAAAACTTTGATCCCGAGAACATTCTAATCAGAGGCCACAGTAGCCTTTATCGCGATGCGCTTTTAAACCAGGGGCGGTAATGCCCAAGATGGCCCACACTGAAAAACAACAGCACACACACCTATTCCGCAGACAACCTCACGACCGCCGCCCACCTCCCCGTCCAGTGCGGGGATCTCGAGCTGTGTCTAGAAACAGGTTTAACAGAGTTCAACTCCATGGCCCAGGGCCTCTAAACTGTCAGAAACCAAAGAGCTCGGGCGCAGTGACTTCCGCCCGGACTCCAGGAAGTTACATGCACAAAAGAAAGCTGCATCCTTCAGCGGTGCCCCATTCCACACACCGCCGCTTTCCTAAAAACGATAAAAGTCTCTGCGCGGCGGGAGCATTACCGTTCAGCCGCCCGCCCCAGAGTCCCCTCCAGCTAGATCCCAAAGAGCTGTCCACTGGCAGAGACCACGCTCACCTGCCGAAGCCGTCCGCGCCGCAGGCCGGGACCGGAAGTCGTCACTGCGTGCCGCCGGCGTGCGCGCGGAGCCTCCCGGGATGCGTAGTCCCGCGGCGGTGGTCATGGAGTGGCGCGAACGCCGAGCCAGCCCTAAATGCTTCTGCGGCCAACCACCCTCCTGGGCCTCCGACCAGGCAGAATCCGGAGCTTGTGGCAATGCAAACACAAAGGGAGACGTTATAGTGCCGCGCTAAAACAGACAAGAGGTTATATTTTAAATGCCGGCTACCCTTGAGCGAAAGCTGAGACTGGAGGTCCTGAACCTATTTTGCACCTGGTTAAACGACAAATGCCGTTAAGACAAAAGCATTTACTATTATTACCCAAATGTGGCGTCTGACGGGAAGTGTGGTGCCCGCGGGACGAAGGAGGGGAGCTCGGAGCGGCGGGGCTGGAGCGCAGGCTTCAGCACCACGGAGAGGTCGCGGCCCTGATGGCCGGCTTGCCCAGCCTCCAGCTGCCCGAGAGAAGACGTGGTCCTGGCGAGTGCAAAGGATCGAGCCCCGGTGGTGCACGTGCACGCAGGAGGTAGAGGCTGGGCCGAAAACTCTTCCCCGGGCTGCTGCAACCAGGGGTCGCGATTCACAATACCGGAGGTGGGAACGCCGCAGGTGCCTAGCACAAGAACAGAGCAACTTGCGGAAGCTCTGCTTCCATCACTCGGATCCGACGCCCACTGTGTCTTGCAATTCGCTGGCCTTTCTTACCCCTAGCAGGGTGGAGGCGGAGCCGGGCGGGGAGACAGGCGCTCCGCTCCGCCCGACTCTCCTTGGGCAGGGGACGTTGGGGTACGGGAAGCAGGCTCTCAGATCAGCACTAAGAGCCCCGAAACTGTGGTAGTGTTGGCCGAGGTCAGCCGCGGGCCCCCCTCCAGAGGCACAACTAAGAAGTGCGAACAGGGGACAAGCCAAATTACCTCGGATATGACCGCGGTCCTTTCTGCTCCCTGGCCTCGTCCCTCATCCCCGCCCATCCCTGCTCTCTGCCTTTTCCTTACCCATCCCTGTTCTCTGGCCCTCCCTGCTCTCTGTCCCTCCCTGCTCTCTGCCCATCCCTGCTCTCTGCCTCTTTTCTTTACCCATCCTTGCTCTCTGCCCCTCTCCCTGCCCATCCTCTCCCCTTGCCCTATCCCTGCTCTCTGCCCATCCCTGCCCTCTGCCCCTCTCCCTGCCCATCCTCTCCCCCTGCCCTATCCCTGCTCTCTGCCCATCCCTGCCCTCTGCCCCTCTTCCTGTCCATCCTCTCTCCTTGCCCTATCCCTGCTCTCTGCCCATCCCTGCCCTCTGCCCCTCTCCCTGCCCATCCTCTCCCCTTGCCCTATCCCTGCTCTCTGCCCATCCCTGCTCTCTGCCCATCCCTGCTCTCTGCCTCTTTTCTTTACCCATCCTTGCTCTCTGCCCCTCTCCCTGCCCATCCTCTCCCCCTGCCCTCTCCCTGCTCTCTGCCCATCCCTGCCCTCTGCCCCTCTCCCTGCCCATCCTCTCCCCCTGCCCTATCCCTGCTCTCTGCCCATCCCTGCTCTCTGCCCCTCCCCCAGCCCGCCCGCGCATCCCCTCCCCTCGGTCGTCTCCCCGCGCCCTCTGCGCCTGCGCGCGGCGCCGCGGGTGGTGGGCGCGGGCGCCGAGGCCCGTCCTCCGCGGAAGCCCATTGGCCGCCGGCGGGGCCGGGCACTTCCTCGCGCCTGTGGTGGGAGCACGTGCTGGGGGCGGGAGCAGCGGCCGCAGCTATGGCGTCGTTACTTTGGGCAGGCGACGCAGGGGCGGCGGAGAGCGAGCGGCTGAACAGCCATGTAACCGCCACCCGGGGAGGGCAGACGGGCTGGGGGCTAGACCAGGGCGAACCCGCCGGGGTGGGGAGGGCGAGCCCTGCCAGCGTTTGGAGTGGGGTGTCAAGTGGGGAAGGGTTTGGAAGAGGGCCACGGAGAAGGGGAACCCGGGGGGCGGGGAGGAAGACCTTGGTTTGAAAAGACAAAAACGAAGACACCTGTAAATCCAAGAAGGGAAGACAGCTGCTAGTCCTAAGGAGACTCTCTTATTAATATCATTGTTATTCACAACTTGGCCATTAAGCTAGCTTTCTTCTTAAACCTGCCAGTTTGCTTTCCCAGTCGCCCTCTCCTTGGTGGTGGTGTGACCCACAAGTATTTAGTAACATTTAATCTGGAGGCCTGTTACAGAGGAACTTGGCCAAACGAAGATACTTCCATCAGGAGACCTAGCCCTTAAAGCTGCAAGGAAAACTCTGCTGGGGTGGTCTTCAGAATCCCTTCCAGCCCCTTTGTAAGGAAGCACCACTCTTCACTGCTTGATGGTCTCTTTCCTAATATTGGTTGAAATTTGTGTCTTTCAATAGTTTTCAAACCTCATCCACACCCAGAAGAACCTTCATGATGTTAGGAATACTGCAGTCCCAGGCATAGGTGAGTGCTGTTAGAATAAAGTACATTGGCTTTAATTGACTTTAAAAATATTGCCTTCATGGTGTCCCTGCCTACTGAAATGCCTTGGTTCTGTGCGTTTAAAGCCCTTCGCAGTCATTCCCTACCCCATGAAAGGATTCTTCCTGCCGGGATACGCGGTGTAGAGCAGAGGAAGGTTGGAGTGCATGCCCAGCAGATGTGCTCAGCCCCTGTCTTCACTGTCATTGTTTCTCTTCCTTTTAGATGATTCTTTTAACATCGATGAAAATGAAGAAGATGATATAGGTAGGAAATTAGTTCATTTGCGCATATCTGTTAACGTTCTGTTTCAGTTTATCCTCATTTTTGCAGCTGAATGAATCATCAGTCTCCACCGGAACATCACAGGATTTGCCTGTTTTTTTTTTCAGTTGGAAATATCACACACACACTAAAGTTTAAAGTGAAGTACATGGATCTTTTATAGATGTTGAAGTAGGGCATACAATTAATGGATTGAAATTTTCAGCTGATGTGGAATAATTAGTTTCATGAAGAGGGACATAGGTTTACATGAGGTGTTACAGCAGATAATAAAGTATTCTCAATGCTATGTCGCTCTTTCTAGAGCCTTCTTTAAGATGACATGGGAATAGAGGCAGTTGCTTGCTTAACAATCACTGGGTCGGGAAAAGCAGGTTATTAGATGGCCATTCAGTAGTATTAACGTTCCTTCCTTTTATTTTTGCTTTTGAAGTGGACTTGGCAGCTAATTCACTCTTAAACAAATTAATCCGTCAGTCGTTGGTAGAATCCAGTCACCGAGTTGAAGTCTTACAGAAGGATCCTAGCTCTCCGCTCTATTCAGTAAAGACTTTTGAAGAGCTGAGACTGTGAGTATTTTTAGCTCTTTTGGTAAGAGAAAATGCTGGAAAGCACAACCTAGAAAAAGTTAACCTACTAATAGTAAAACCATCAGAACTGCCTTTTTTCCTAAACCACATATTAAGACGTATACATATTACATCCAGCTGAAATACAGCTCAAAGAACACTAGGATACCTGAATTGCCTAACAAAATGAGCACATTGTTGTAGAAAACAAAATTTACTCTTACATTTATAAGGGATGAATACTAAAACAGAGACTGCCCGTATTGCTAGTCGCCATACCAGAATCCACAAGGGCATTGATGACAAAAATATCAATACCATTTTAAAAAACTATATGTCAAATTACTTTCTACTTATGTAAAAAAGATAACCCTTCAGGAAAACTGGTATACTTCTCTTAGATTTTTTTTTTCTTTTTTGCTTTGTTTGAGAAGTTCAGCCTTGGACCCTTACCACCATGCTTAGCATCAGCTTGTAGCATAACCTTTTAGTTTAAGGACTCAGCAGTACAGGCATGATTGTATTGTTTAGGAGTTGAGGTATGAGTAAGTTTCTAACTTTTTTAAGCTCAGTAGCAGAGTGGCTTAATTTAGAATTCACCTTTCAAGTGTACACTTCTGAAGCTGCTGAGCAACCCCAGGCTCTAGGTGGCTTTTTGTTTTGTTTTGTTTTGTTTTGTTTTTGCCAGAAAAGAAGAATTACTAAGAGGGATCTATGCAATGGGATTTAATAGACCTTCCAAAATCCAAGAGATGGCACTCCCCATGATGCTTGCACATCCGTGAGTTTCAAGTGTGGTTGTATTCTAACCTGGTTATTTTTATTCTCTTCAATTCATGCCTGCATTATTGTGTTGGTTTATGTCTAGTGGTCTCCTCTCTTCTGCAGACCCCAGAATCTCATAGCTCAGAGCCAGTCTGGAACAGGGAAAACAGCTGCCTTTGTCTTGGCAATGCTCAGCAGAGTGAATGCACTGGAACTATTCCCACAGGTAAGGAAAGACTGGCAGTGGGGGGACTCCTTAGAATGCCATCATGTGTTGGTGCTAGGTGATACTACTGAAATTATGTGATTACTGCATTGATATGCTTGGGATAGACATTCTTCTCTGAGCTCAGAGAGCACTGGACAACCAAAAGGGGGCCGAGGTAGAAAACACAAGTTTTACAGTCCACCTAAACATTCCGCTTACTAGCCACTCCTCCTATTAGCCCAATGTCACAGGCAAGTATGTGAATCTGGATCTTTTACCCTGTCTGTAAAGCAATGAATGATAGTGCCTCAAAATAAACAGATCATAGCTGTTCTGTTCACCCTTGAGTCCTAATATTGTGCCCAACGTGTAGAAATCACTCATTAAACATTGGGTTCATGAATGCATGGATAGATGGATGGCTGGTTATAGGATTATCATACAGATTCAGTGACACAATATACATCTTAATAATATTCTTAGAATGAAGCAGGAATGTGGTATTTGCTAACCATATAGCTGTGGAGCAAGGAGCTCATCTGTTCCCCTTGGTGATTTAGTAGGAAAGGGAGCTGCTGCTTAGGTAGGAAGCATCTTTGCTGCATTTGCAGAATGACTGAACAGCATGACACCCACTAACATGGTTCTGCTAGCCTAGTTTTCACATGTGAAGAATATCTGGTAATCCCTCCTTCTCCAAAATGCACTTTCTGACTCATTTGACAAGCTGAGGTCCCATCTGCACCAAGTAAATGCTGTAAGGAGCACAAGGGCTCTCTTAGCAAGCTCCCCCTATGATTAACAAGATAAGCTCTGGGCACAGAAGGCATGGGAGACCTTGCACATTTTAAACAAGCTCAGTGACATTGTATTTGACACTTGGTAGTATCAGTGAAAGTTCTTCCGGGTAAGTTGTGCTTGAGCACATGTTGAAAAGTGCATGGAAAAAATTTTTTTGGCATTCTCATTTCCATCTCCATCACAGATCCCTAATGGAAACACATAAATGATTAGATGCCACCAGTTTCTTCCACCAGCCAGCATCACCATGTTTAGTTGGAATGGAATAAGAGTTTAGGAAAACATCCTTCTGAGAGGTTGGTTGGTAGGGAGGTAGATAGGAAATGTAGATGGAGTGGATCAAGCAGGGACTGTTCTGGAAGGAGACAGATCTTTGATGGTCAGAAGCAGTGCAGACTGAGCTCAGGCTATAACTGACTTTGGCTCCCTCTCTCTCATTGACTCCTTCTCACATCCCATCAATCCCACACCAAAAAGGATGACTAGGAATGTGTGTCTGAATAACACTTTAGAGGAAAAGAAATAAAGGCTAGCTGTTCTGCATGTTCCTGCCTCTTACCCCTCTGTTAGTCAGCACTCACCTCAAACGTGTTAACTTTTAAAGTATATTCAATTTAAACCACTCAACCTAAATCTCCAATTTACCACTGCCCGCAGCAGCATGAGCACAGTTGGAGGAACAACGTATAATTGAGAAAGTAGGAAATGAGAGAGACAAAAGATAAAAAACTATGAAAAGGGGCAGCCAAAGGGAAGCCCCCTTCTCTGCAGAAGGAGGTCAACCTAGAAGACTCACTGCCTCAGTCTTTTATTGAGGTGCTTTGGGAATCAAATTACAGCAGAGAATGTGACAAAAATGTGGCTCGTTATATCCCATATTGCTGGTAATCAGTCAGTGTTTGATGAGAAGGAAACAATAGCATGACCCGAGTATAGAAGTCAGTAAATGCATGTCTCAGGGATGTCTCAGAGCACACAGGCCTGTGGCCTTGGACCATTGCCTAACTGTGGACCCTTGTCCACAAGCTTCAACTTTGGTCTTGCTCGCGAGTTTTGCTCACTCGTGGACCATTGCCTACAGAGTGCAAAGTTTGACCTCGATCTCCAGCACCAGCAGTCTGAACTGACGATTCCAGGCACAGCATGCTCTGCTCTTCCACCTGAAGTCAGTGTTATTTTTTACAAACTACCAGGAACTCCTAAGTCTCCAGTTAGATTTCTATAGCTCTCCCTGTAGAAATTTTATTAAGTTTGAACAATGGCTGGTATAAACTTTTCTCCTGGCCTCTTTTTCTGACAGTGCCTCTGCCTGGCTCCTACTTATGAACTGGCTCTGCAAACTGGCCGTGTGGTCGAGCAGATGGGAAAATTCTGCTTGGATGTTCAAGTGATGTATGCCATTCGAGGGAATCGAAGTATGTACCAGTAAGCCAGTGCTGCCCAAAAATGGCAGCTTCACCATTAACAGCAGTGTGGCTTCTCAGCTTTCTCATCGCTCTCTCTAAAGTGGGAGATTAATAGCACCTGTTTCTATTGTAGTTTGTGTGAGACTTGACTGTTTTATGCAGAATGCTTTTTTTCTTCTCAGTGTTTCTCATACTTATATTAAAAAGAGAAACTTTAAAACGCTCAGAAGATAGGAGTCTTCCTATCCCACCAGACTTCATTCAGCATAGCAATATTACTAACAGGACCTTGGTCTTTGTTTCTTTGTTTTGAGTTGCTCTAACCAGGTAAATGTGCTTGTTTTCACTGAATATTTATTTTTAAGAAAAAAATGGAGGCTTTTACATACCATTCATTCTGTTGGCTACTTACACAGTGTTTTGTCTGATGTGTATTTAGGTTGTTTTTCTTTGGGAAAGATTTGTGGCTCTCCTAGCTGTGCAGTATTTCTGAAAGACAAAGTGGCTTTTGAATGATCATGAGCTAGAATCAAATACACACGTCTATTCAAATAAACTAGAAACTTGCAATTTTAAACTAAAACTGTACAAAGTCATAAACACCATGACCCTGAGGGTTTACTCTTGAAAATCATTGCAATCTATGCTTTTGCTTAGGAATTTTCTGTTCTGTTGCCCTGTTGAAGTGAGGCAATTTATATCTGAAGGAAAGCTTAAAACCCTTTTTTTCTCCTAGTTCCCAGAGGCACTGAGGTCACCAAACAGATTGTCATTGGGACTCCTGGGACTGTCTTAGATTGGTGTTTTAAGAGAAAATTAATTGACTTGACTAAGATCCGTGTGTTTGTCCTGGATGAAGCTGACGTGATGATTGACACCCAAGGATTCTCAGATCAGAGTATTCGTATTCAAAGGTAACTCGGAGCCATCCCTTCTTCCTAGGTCTCTGTCTAGGCGAGCAGTGCCATTTGTCTACTGCTCCTAACTATCGTTGTTGCTTAATTCCTTACCACCTCTGCCTCTAAAACAAATTCAAGTTTTCATTGTTTTCACCAGCTCATAGGGTCTTTGGACTTCTACAGTTTTCCAGCATCTTCCCCTTCTTGGCTTTAGCGTTACAATGCAGTATTGCAGATGGAATCCACATGAGTCTACAGTTTTCCAGTGGTGTTTTCTATTTTAAGCAGAATTCTGAAGAGGTTCTGTTCAAACCTGAGAAGACTATTGTGAGGATCCAATAGATAACTAGACAGAGCAGAGAATACTATTACCTGGGACCAGGAGAGTGATGGTCTAGTCCTGACATGGTACCGGGTTCATAAATAAAGCATATCCTTTTCTTGTCCTGTCTAGTGGGATCACCCCAGGGTCTTAAAATTAGGTTACCAATCCCAATCTCAGACTTATTTAGACAATATGGTTTAGGAATTTGTATCAGTTTTAAGTAACATGTTAAATTCAAATAGTGTCAAATAGTATCATAAGAATTATAAATAGGAAATAAGATTCCCTGCTCCACCCCCAAGTACTTTTTTCTGACACTGGCATTCACACTTTTAAATCATGTGTTTCCACCGCTATTGCTGATACTAGTCATTATCTGCTGACTTCCCATTATGGTTGGTAGGAATTGGGCTCTTCGGAACTGTCAGCCACTTTCCATTGTCTTCCCTGTATCACCTCTGCATGATTGTATCGTGAGAGTTTAGTTAAGAGTCTTGTTTTATTAATATTAATAATAGAGTTATTAATCAAATGCTCTTAATAAATAATAATAACATAATAGAGTAGTAGTGTATTATCATTATGTTCACTGGTGTGCTAAGCATTATCATTATAATTGTGTTTTCTCTTACACAGACTTTCTTATAATTTGATAATTGCCTTTTTTGTTTTCATCTTGATAGCTTCACTATAGAGATCTTTGGTTTTTTCCTGAGCTATTCCATTAAGTACGTCGTAAGTCAGTGACATTTCTGAAGTCAATTACCTTTTAAAAATTAATGCATTTCTGTTTTCTCTCGGAGATCGGCCGGGTCCCCTCCCTCTCGAGCTGTCTGACCTGACTGCTTTCCAGCCTCTGACACAGCTGCCGTCAGGGCTCTGCCCTTTGCTCTGTTACAGTTTTCAATATTTGCTGGACCTTGTTTCTTAGATTATTTCCACAATATGCTAGAGTATATTTTCTGTAATCATCCTAAAATGAATGGATAGGAAACTCATCTTTAAGCCCTAACATGTCTGGAAATATTTTTATTAATACCTGTAAATTTGATCTTTTGATTAATTGATAGTTTGCCTTGTAGGAATTCTGTTATTGAAATCCAGAAACAAAATTTCTCAAAAAAAAAAAAAAAGAAAGAAAAGAAAAGGTCTTAGGTGTAACTGTAGTATTTAATGTCCTACAATGTTCTAGAATTGTTCTTAGTAAAAGGTCAGTGGCGTCCTCATTTCCAAGCTTTAGAGTGTGACTTTATCTGTCTCTCTCTGGAAACTTTTGGGTATTCTGAAACTTCTCAGCTACATGCTTCCATCTGTTGTGTGTGTGTGTGTGTTTTTTAACTTCATGTTTCTAGACATTTAGTGCATCCTTTCATTCTTAAAATTTGTGCATGCCAATTCTAGAAAACTCATTATTTCTTTCAGTAGGGAAGGAAACATCAGGATTTCACAATGTTCCTGGCTCTGATGCACATTTTATGTTAACCCTAGCTCTACATATTAGAGATACTATTTTTTAGGCACTATTGCTTATTAAGAAACATAAATGTAAAACTTTTTTTTTACAAAGAGAAGGTAAATAGAGCAATTCCGATGTTATCTATACCCTAAAATGTTTCCTTTTTATCTAATGGAACAATTGGATGCTTGTTTTATTTCCAATTTCAATAATATCTCTCTGTATTGTCTATAGCCTTCTTTAAAAAAAAAAGATTTATTTATTTGTATTGGAAAGTCGGATTTACAAGAGAAGGAGACAGAAAGATCTCCCATGTACTCTTTCACTCCCCAAATGGCTATAGTGGCCAGAGCTGAACTGATCCAAAGCCAGGAGCTTCTTCCAGGTCTCTCATGTGGGTGCAGGGTTCCAAAACTTTGTGATGTCCTCTACTGCTTTCCCAGGCCACATGCAGGGAGCTGGATGGGAAGTGGAGCAGGTGGAACCCGTACCGGAGCCCATATGGGATCCTGGCACGTGCAAGGCGAGGACTGTAGCCACTAGGCTACCTCACCTTCTCTCATGTGGTGATCCAACTAAAAACAGTCAAATGTAAAATTTATTTTGACTTGCATATCTACTCTTACTAAGATAATGTTTACTAGCATTAGTCCAATGTGACAATATCTGATAAAAATGTTAAGTGTGAACAGTTAAGATTTCACTTACAGCAGTATGTTTTATTTATTTATTTTATAATTTTATCCTTTAGTTTTATTTTTTTCAACTTTGAGGCATAAGTGACAAAAATCATATGTATTCAGATATATAGTTTGATGTTTGGACATACATTGTGATTTCTGCAGTCTAACTAATAATATATCTATCACCTTACAATTACCGTTTCATTTTATTTTCTTAAAAACTTATTTCTAAGGCCCTAAAGATGCCCTTCCTTAATATCATATTCAGTGTATTTCAAAATTGGAGAAGGTTATTTTTTGTGTGTGTGTCTCACACTTTGAAAATATGATGCCATGGCCAGCCAGCATTTTTAATCTTTGCAGTGGCCAGCAATGGTGACAATCATCTTACAAGCTTATGCTGAGGAAGCTGTCGCCTTTCATTTCTATAGAGTTAGAAATATCAAGTGGTTCTGCAAGTTTTAAAGAAATGGAAAAACAGTCATGAAAGGCTCAGTATCATAGATAAGCATACCATACCACCTTTTTAGAAATCTTTTGAGGAGTTGATATTGTGGCATAGTAGGTTAGGTTGCTGCAAGCATCCCATATAATGCCAATTCATGTCCTGGCTGCTCCAGTTCTTATCCAGCTCCATGCTGGAGTGTCTGAGAAAGCAGCAGAAAGTGGACCCACCTAGTCCCAGTCACCACAGCTATTTGAGGAGTGAACCAACAAATGAAAGATCTCCCTCTTACACTCTCTCGTGCGCTCTCTCTCTCATTCTGCAACTCCATTTTTCAAATAAATACATGAATCTGGTTTTTAAGAAAAAAAGATTATATGCAAAATATGCAAGACATATAGCTTTTTTTTTTCAGTGGAACTTTATGGTCTGAATGGGGTTTGCTGAAAAGTTATCCTCACATTGTCTGGTATGAAAAGTATTTTGTCTTATATTTTCTGTTTTATTAATACTTAATGGAAATTAAAAAGCTGTTTTGAAGCCCTATTTCTGCTAATCAAAGCATGTTAAGAGGGAAGAACTTTTTTGTTAGTGCTGGGATTTGAGATATCACTTCCATGCTGTTGGTAAAATCAGAATCCACTCTAACCTGCTAGAGATGTGACATCTCTCATCAACATTTCCCCCATTTGTTCACCTGCTTGACATTTAACTTGCCATCTCTGAACTAGGAAATGTTAACTGTGCTCTGTTCAGAGGGCTCTCGGGGATGACGGAATAAGGCAGGACTGTGTATGGCCAGCCTAACTCAACACCCACTCTTCAGCTGAGCGCTGGTGCTTTTGGAGAAGGGAAAATAAAAAAACTTTCAGTGCTGCGTTTCTTGCCCTAAATGTATAAGATTGTCTCAAGATAGTCTCTTCTTGTTCCCTTCCCCTTCTTATCCAACTCCAGAATTTTTCTGGCACATTATGTTGTGTGTTTGTTGTTTAACTTTCGCTGTGGTTGTGTGTGTCCTTCAGTCATTGAAATAACGCAATGATTTAGTTTCTCTATTTATCTGGCGGTATTCTCTGATTGTTTCCTTCCTGTACATTGTGGTTGGAATGTCTGTTGTCACTCTGAAGATTTCACTCCAAGTGTCTTTTTACTTTTCAGCATTATTTCTGAATTATCCAAGTTTTGTTTGTCTGCTCCAGTCTATTTCACAGGAGACCTTACCTTTGCACAGCTAGTAGTGCTTGGCTAGCATTTCATGAGCTCATATGAGGAGTTAAATCGTAATTGACAGCTCTATGTGCATCAGTGGAACTTGTACCTTGGGAAGCTTCATTTAGGATGGCTGTCCTCTGGAGGGCACTACAACTCTCATGTATTTCTTCTTCTTGTGGCAGTTGGAGTCTGGCCAGTTCCTGGCATTTTGGAGCAGAATGGAAAGGTTCTGCAATATGATATGCATTCTTCTCCTGATGTCTTATATTCAGGGTATACTCTAGTGACAAATTCTTACACAAAATACATGTCTAGTATTCTGCATACCTAGCTGTTTAAAGTAGGGGAGCCAAGTGATGTTTACACATACTTTCAGCCAGCCATCCTGAAAATAATCGTAGCCAGACGTCAAAACTGTCATGTTCTTACCAATAAGTCTACGTGTGCACGTTAGTAAATGAAAAATTCAGAACTCCAGGAAAGATGAAATGGTTAAATAGGGCAAAGAAAATCCCTTTCATTTTCTACTCAAGACAGTGAAAAGTAAAAATTGGAGCATTTATGTTTATTTAGCCTTCAATTTTTTAGGTTTTTCTTCCTTTATCTTGAAAAAAGGTTACATTAGTGATGTTCTAGAGAAATGTAAGTCCAACCATATGTGTAATTTTAGATTTTCTAGTAGCCACATTAAATGTACAAAGAGAGAGGAGGAGGGAGAATTGGGCATTTAGTCTGGTGGCTAAAATACCCGTATCCCACATTAAGATGCCTGGCTTTGATTGCTGGCTGTGGCTCCTTACTCAAGCTTGTTCCTGGTGCAGACACCACTTGTAAACAGTGGTGATGGCTGCAGTGCGTTCTTGCCGCCCACGTGGAAGAGCTGGATGCCGTTCCTGGCTTAAAGCTGGCTCAGTCCCAGTCATGGGTTTGCATTTGAATTGTGAATCCAGGGATAGGAGTACTCTCGCCTTCTCGCTGCCTCTTAAATAAATGAAAAGTCTTTTAAAAACATGAAAATAAGATTGTATTCTATTTAACCCAAGGTTTCAAGTTATCATGACAATGAGTAGTCAATATAAAAATAATGTACACAGTTTACTATCTTTTTTTTGCTAAGCCTGTTTCCCTTGTCACCCTATAGCTTTGTGTGACATTATAACCATGGAGAGCATCCATGAGTCTGCCTTACCTCCGGAGAAAACTAGCACAAGAAACCTCAAACCCTGCAAAGCAGATGCCTCAACTTTGCTCTGAGCTCTACATTCCATTCATATATTTGTATGTGTTGTTGGCAGTAAGGAAGGGCAGGGCACATGGCTGTTTACTTGAAGATGCAGCTTGCCATGGCAGACAGGTGCTCACTTGGGCAGGTGTGCTCAAAGCAGCTGATAGCAGGCTTGAGGTGCTGGCAGGAAAATGGCAACGCAGCAGCTGTGTGACCGCTTTCTGCCCTTCTCCTTGACAGAGCTTTACCCTCCGAATGTCAGATGCTCCTCTTCTCAGCAACCTTTGAGGACTCGGTGTGGCAGTTTGCTGAAAGAATCATTCCTGATCCTAATGTTATCAAGTTGCGTAAAGAGGAGCTGACCCTGAACAACATCAGACAGTATTACGTGTTATGCGAGAACAGGAAAGAAAAATACCAAGCGCTGTGCAACATTTATGGTGGCATCACTATCGGCCAGGCCATCATCTTCTGTCAGGTAATCCCTGCCGAGTGTGTCCTCATGTTTCCCTGCACAGGAGTGTGGGGAACTGTAACAGTAAATGCCATTTGATGAAGCAGGGTTTTCAGCCCATTTCATGTGTTAACTAGTTTAATTAACAGAACAGCTCTGAAATGAGACTATTTGTATTTTGTGGGTGAAACTTGGAAAGTTTCAGTAATGGAATGGGATCTGCAGTGTGATATGAAATAGCCTTCTTATTTTAGAGGGGTTTCTTCTAACACTTCCACATTTAGTAGGTTGATGATTGAAGTTTTTACAGAACATTGTAAGAATGTTACTGTTGTTATCACCCTGTTTGAATTTTTGGCTAAAGCACCTGCCTGGCATACAGACAGCACTGAAAATGTGTTCACAGAATAAAAGCTTAGCTGTACAAGCCTGCATTGTAGTACAGCATTTGGCACAGCCTTATATCAGAAGGCCAGCACAAGTCCCAGCTTTCTGCCAATGTGCCTGACAAGGCAGTAGATGATAACCCAAGTGCTTGGATCCCTGCTACCCATGTAGAAGACCCAGAGCAGATGGAGTTCCTGGCTGCTGGTTTTAGCCAGGGTTTTAGCCCTGGCTGTTGCAGGCTCTTGGGGAGTGAACCAGGAACTGCAAAATCTCTCTTTCTCACTCTCTGTTACTCAACCTTTCCAATTAAAATGAAAGATGGAAAGAGAAAAGAAAGCGGGGCAAATGAAGGGAAGTGAAAGGAATGATGAAAGAGACGAGGAGGATAGAAGGAAAGGAATAAGGGAATAAGGGTAGCTGGGTAACTTCAGGCAGATTACTTACCATTTTGAAATTTGGGAACGTTTGTTCTTATCTTTAAACATATAAAATTAGTAACTGTTTCATTAAATTGTTGTGAATGCACATGACCCTTGCACATGTAAAGATTTCATTTGGGTGCCTGGCACACATTGGTGTCATTATTGTTATTGCATTGAATCATCTTGTCATTCTATCACCATGTTAAGTAAGTGGGACGTGTTTATATCCACGGATGACGAACTGAGAGAATGTGACCCTTAGACGCAGCAGCAGAGGGAGCGTCCCGTGGCACATTGCAAGGCTCCCCAAGGAAGGAGGGAAAAGTGAAGCTCTCAGCTCACTTCCTCCTGTGCACTGCCCCAGACACATGAGCGTTGCCAGCACGGTGGGTGCTGCAATGGCTCTCGTGTTTCCACACAGACTCGTCGAAATGCCAAATGGCTGACTGTGGAAATGATGCAGGATGGCCACCAGGTGTCCTTGTTAAGCGGAGAGCTGACCGTGGAACAGCGGGCTTCTATCATCCAGAGGTTTCGAGATGGGAAAGAGAAGGTTCTTATAACAACCAACGTGTGTGCTCGAGGTGTGTGTGTGTTTTTAAAATCTGGTATTGGGATATAATTTTACTTAGGATAAAATGTATTCTTCTTAAGTGTGTAGATCAGTAAGTCCTTGTGAGAGTCCCATAGCCATCACCATATGCAAAGGACAAAACATTCTGAACTCCCCTAAATTTCCTCATGCTCCTTTGCAGTCTCCTCCTCCCAGCATTATTGGCAACTACTGAAGATATTTCTGTTTCTATGTTTTTGCCTCTCCTGGGATGCTTTATAAATGAAGTCAAATAGTGCAGCGATTTTGAGTTTCGTCACTGCTGTTTTTATATGTTAACATTTGTCCTTTGTACGACTAGTAGTAGACCATTGGTGGTACATTACACCATTGAAGGGGATCTGGATTGTTTCCAGTTTGGAGCTATCTTTAATAAAGCTATAATAAAAAGTCATATGCAGGTCTTTGGGAACGTATCTGTTTTTGTCTCTTAGGTAGATACCTGCAAGTAAGATTCCTAGGTCATATGATGAGTGTACATTTAGCTTTCTAAGAGGCTGAAAAACTCTTTCCCACCATGGTTGTATCGTTTTGCATTCCCATCAGTAGTATTGGAGAGCTCCAGTTGCTCTGTATCCTTGCCAACAATTAGTATTATCACTTTAGTAATTTAATCATTCTAGTAGGTATGTAGTTCTATATCATTTTGGTTTGTATTTGCATTGTCCTAATAATTAATGATGAATATCTCTGAGGAGTTTATTTAAATTTAAATATCCACATAGAATTACCGGTTACCATACTGGACAGCACAACTCTTTAGACCCTAAAGCAGAGGTTGCATACCTTGTTTTCTACCAGAGGTCATTGGATATTATAACATCCAATGGGCCATGCAAAATAATCACTTTAAAATTAATTTAAAAATTAACCTGCTGCCGGCATTGTGGCATAGCAGGTGTAAGTGCTGTCTGCTATGCTGGCATCCCACACGGGCACTAGTTCATGTTCCAGCTGTCCCACTTCTAATCCAGCTTCCTGCTAATGGCCTGGGAAAAGCAATGGAAAATGGCCCAACTGTTTGGGCCCCTGTCACCCACATGGGAGACAGATGAAACTCATGTCACCTAGCTTTGATCTGGTCCAGCACAGGCCAACATAGACACCTGAGAAGTGAACGGCTGTTGAAAGATGTTGAAAGATCTTATTTCTCTCCCTCTTCCCTCCCCCTGCCTCTCTCTGCGTCTCTTTAACTCTAAATTTCAAAATAAATTTTTAAATAAAAAGAATAATAGGCCTGCTATAGATTTATTGAATTTTGGGTCTGACCTGCCATTGCTTTGACAGGGCCATACCAACCAAGTGATTTCACAGGTCTTACACTGCCTGCAGGCCAAAAATTCCCTTTCCTGCCCTAAATTACATAGAGCCCAGAATGCTGCAGAGAAAGCTGGCAGGGCATCACTATCCAGGCAGCCTGCTAGTGTCGCTGGGTGAAAGGCACCAAGTCTTTGTAGGCAACACTAGACTTCAAAGAGTTGTAGTTCACTTGGATGAGAATTTGTAGTATGAGAAATGGGCAGATATTGTGACTGAAGTGTGGTACTTGTGGGTTAAGGGAGGAAAAGGTACAACTTTAGGAGCTTTGAGGACTTGAATTGCTTGAGCAGTGGGTTGTGAACACATTGTGCCCTGGGCATTGATGTAGTGATTGTCTTAGGTGGGAGTAGAGAAGTGGGTTCAGAGATGGGGAGACCAGTTTGGAGTTGAGGCACAGGTTAATAAAGATCCAAGGCTGACTTGTTGTGTAACAGGTTAAGCATGCCGTATCAGAGTGGCAGTTCTAGTCCCAGCTCCTCTACTTCCAGTCCAGCTCCCTGCTAAGGTGCCTAGAAAGGCAGCAGAAAATGACCCAAGTACTGGGCCCCTGCCCCTTGTTGGGGAGGCTGAGACAGAATTACTAGCTCCTGGCTTCAGCCTGGCCCAGGTCTGATGGTTGCAACTATTTAGGGTGAGTGAGCTATTTAGCAGTGAGCGGGTAGAAGATCTCTCTTCTTCCTTCCCCTCCCCTTCCCTTTTCCCACTCTTCTCTGTCCACACGCATCTGTCTGTCTTTCCCTCTGTCACACTGCCTCTCACATGACTTTAAGAAAATAGAACCTTACTAGAACATTGATCAAGGGATGCAGCAAAGTTGGGATCCCATAATGGGTCAAGGACACAAGGCCCAGGGGTCTGCTAGGGACTTGGTACAATAGAGGCAGAGGGGAGTGTGGCTGCTCTGTGGTCTTGGTGAGAACCCTTCTCTCCCTCTCCTTCCCTCACTCCCTCTCCCCCCCCTCCCATCCATCCATCCCTCACAGACACAGAAACCCCCATTCACACAAGCACACACCTGCTTTCTACATGTTTATTCTGTTGGTACTCTCACCCTGCACCACAGCATGGAAGCAACTTTCTGAGCAAAGTACTTATTTCCGTCCTATAAAACTAGCCTTTATTTATACATTGTATCTGAATGGCTGTGTCCTATCGAAAATGTCCCAAGACCCTGTGGTGTTTTTGCTTTTCCAGGGATTGATGTGAAGCAGGTCACGATTGTTGTGAATTTCGATCTCCCTGTCAACCAGTTAGAGGAGCCGGACTATGAGACGTACCTGCACCGTATAGGGCGCACGGGACGCTTTGGGAAGAAGGGCCTTGCCTTCAACATGATTGAAGTGGATAAACTGCCGCTGCTGATGAAGATTCAGGAGCACTTCAGTAAGTGCTTCCACTGTGGCATCAGCTCAGGCCTCTGCTGCTGCCGGGGCTGATGGGCATTGGGGAGCTCAGGCCCAGAAGCTCGCAGTAAAGGGCAGGCTGATGCCATCCAAAGGGAGGTTCGGACTCCCAGGACCAGGGTGCTTGTAGAAGGTGACTGAGTAAAGAACTGGCATGAGGTGCTTCAGGAGAAGCATTCAGATCAGCTGGAACTAGTGATGTCAGTTCAGATGTCCACACTGCAACTCCCTCTGGAGTCCAGAGCAGCTTTTCTCGTCCCAGAGTGAGCTGTAAGCCACGTAATCAGGTCCTATAACATCAGCTTCCCCTTTTGTTACTGCTTTCATCTCTGCCCTACTCTCCCATACAGGATGGATGCTGAATTCTAGGTCTACAGCCCCTCTTCCAGCCACATCTTAACAGGGCAGGAGCTTTGGACTGGACAAGTGCACCCTGATGGAGCTTTGTGATTTGGGATCTCCCCCAAAGTCCACAGATGTGTGGGGAGCAGACCTGGAGAAGCATGTTTGTCTTCTAGGACAGGGTGCTCAGCCTTTGCTGGAAGCAGTGAGCACTATCCAGGAAGATGCACCCCGGCACACAGATGCCGTCTGAACTCTTAAAGGGGTGTCAACAGTCGCTCTTCCCCGATCCTGCAGAGAAGTACGTTAAGCACCTCTTTGTGAGGCTAGCAGGAGCCAGGGAGAAAGAACCGTTCAGACAATTTGCTAGAGAATCCCAAGGACCCGCTCTTGAGAAGTGACAGCAGTGTAAGATCCTCCGTCCTCCCTAAGGTGTCATCACTGTCACTGCCCACACTTTCTGCCCCCAGGGTATCTAGATAAGTGTGTTCTAAGGGCAGGTGCATTTGGGTTCTTTGCTCTTTTAGTTAGTATTGGTTGGGCTGCTCGTTTTGTTTTGTTTCATCTTTTTAAAGATTTATTTATTTTGGGGTGCGGCATGGTAGCCTAGTGGCTTAAAGCCCTTGCCTTGCATGCACCAGCATCCTATATGGGCACTAGTTCATCTTCTGGTACCGCACTTCCCATCCCGCTCCCTGCTTGTGGCCTGGGAAAGCAGTGGAGGATGATCCAAAGCCGTAGGACCCTGAACCTGCACAGGAGACCCAGAGGAAGCTCCTGTCTCCTGGCTTCAGATGAGCACAGCTCCAACCATTGCAACCACTTGAGGAGTGAACCAGCAGATGGCAGATCTTTTTCTCTGTATCTCCTTCTCTCTGTAGATCTGCCTTGCCAGTAAAAACAGATCTTTTTAAATAGATCTTTTAAAAAAAGTTTAAAAAAAACAGTTAAAAAAAAAAGATCTATTTCTATTTTGGACCCACCAGAATAGCTCAGTGGCTAAATCCTCACCTTGTACACACCTGAGTTCCAATTCTTGTCCCGGCTGCCCCACTTCATGTACAGCTTCCTATTCATGGCCTGGGAAAGTTAGCAGAGGATGGCTCAAAGCTTTGGGACACCGCACCCAGGTGGGAGACCCAAAAGAAGCTCCTAGCTCCTGCTTCGGATCAGCTTAACTCCAGCCATTGCAGCCATTTGTGGAGTGGACCAGGAGTGAAGCAGCTGTGACGGGAACCACTCCCATATGGGATCCCAGCCCTTGCAAGGGGAGGATTAGCCAGTCAAGCATTGGGTAATTTTGATCCATTTCCTACCTCAGGGCTTTCTGTGCAGGATGTCACAGGAGCAGTTATTTCCAAAGGTTTTGCTATCTTAAATTCCAAATTAGGTAACATGAAGTTCCCCTTAGATCCAGATTAAGACTATTGTCTTTTGTTCTTTCAGACCGAAATATTAAGCAGCTGGACCCTGAAGACATGGATGAGATTGAAAAGATTGAATACTGAAGAAAGAACTTTATTGTTTGTGAAATATCCTAGTTTAAGTGAGAATGTCCCAGTGGGTTTTGAAGGTAATTTTTTTTTTTCAATGTTTGAGGCTCTTTCAACAAAAAACTTTTTAGGATGGCATAGTCATGGTGTTTGTTCAGAGACTTGAGATCTTTCTGAAACCAGATTGATGTAAAGCACGTGATCTTTTTGAATAAAAAAAAAAGAACAAGATATGTCTTACTCTACTCTTTTCACAGATAAATGTCTCCTTGGGCTACTGGAGTGGTTTGGGATTTATATTTTTTATAGTCAGAGCAAATCCTGTCTCCTGTGAGGATCCGACAGTACCGCTAGATGGCAGTAGAACGTTGCTGGTTTGGAAATTTGAGCTAGTAGGACAACCAAGAAAGCTGCAGGTCTTCAGGCCTCACAGGGCACCCTTTCCTGCCCTGATGCCTCGCCGCCTCCACCCCTTCACCCTCTTCTCTTGGTGCACACACATTCTTTTGTGAGGATAAGATCTTTAAAATCTTCAAAAATGTGAAACAAGTTGGAAGAGAAGGCATTTTACATGTTTAATGCTTCAAGTGAAATACAGAATTTCAGAATACTTTTCTATTGTGCTTCTCCCTGTCTCCACATTAAAGATGATAGTCTCCATTACTTATTTTGTAGTCTCTGGCAAATGTGGTTTTATTACAGGCTTTTCTTAAAAGCAGGCAATAAGGGTGAAAGGAGAAAACCATTCACCTTATTAAAGAAATAACATTTGAAGAAAACAAGTTTTACTTTTAAGAAGTTAAAAGTATATCTAAGAACCCTGGACATTTTTCTGCACATCCCATTGAGATCTTTATTTTTATTTCTCATACTTGTTACTCAAAAGTGAAAGCATATGCTTGAGAAAACAGGGTGAGCAGCTCCCCACACAGAAAGCTGGAGCCTGCAGCCCAGGGCCATGGGCAGTTTCCCCGGGCCTCAGGGCACGCTCCTGTCACCTTGAGGGCGTGAGCATCTCTCCCCTGTTTGGATAGTCTACTTGCATGTCACCCTGTGTGTGTATGTGTTTTAACCCCAACATCAGGGCTCAGAAATAAGTGAAAATCATTGAGGACCTTAATTGAGCATCACATTATGTATTGAACACACTTACGCTAAACCAGAGAAAGGAAAATGACTGGTGCTAACAAGATAACCTCAGTTCAGAATCCTAATGGTGGCAACTCAGAATAACTCAGTGTGTAGCAAGCTGTGCTGAAGGGCAGACAGGTTGCCTGATTTCGAATCTGTTCCAGCTTCTAACAGAGAAGATGTGCAGGAGCTCCTCTAAGAGAACAGGAGGGTGCCGTGTGTTCAGTGCCATGTGTTCTAATGTGTGCCCACCGAGGCAGTTCTCCAGACGTAGCCCATATCAGAATGATCTGGAGAACCAGAGGGAGAAATGAACTCCCTCCCCTGTGTGCAAAGCCAGATGCTGCGGGAATAGAGCCCAGAGAGTCACACTTTTGTGAGAACTGCCGTGGAATAAGGCAGTAAAGGCTTGTCTGAAGGAGGCCCAGAAGCAGGGAGGTCCTCGGGCCGGAACCTTCAGAAGGGAGAAGTCCTGCTTCAGGGTGCAGTGTGCCAGGCTCGCCCTCGCTGAGTGGTCCTTCCTCTAGACTGACGGTGAGATCAGTCAGCTTCCCGTACTCAGCCCCTAATATGCTATCCGGCACCTACTAGACACCCAGGGAATGTTCTTGTTAAGACAACTTTTATTTTCTCATTCACTGATTTCCCTTGATGTTTTCCATTGTATTTTTGAACCCAAATTACATGGTGAATAAGTTTAGCAAGTACAACAAGATATTTTGCTCTCTCCTATTTGAGAACTGAGTTGGACTTTAACCACACTCAGCTTGGTCTTGGGGTGTCTTACGTCCACTTTCCTGGCTCTCTTTGCAGTTCAGACCGTCCTGAGTGTCTTACTAATTTCCATTTGGCAGCTGTTCCCACAGGGTCTGCAAACTCTGAGCATTCTCCCCTTTGCTGCTCTGCTCACGTGCCTTTGCCTCGCCACCGAGGAGGCAGCAAAACCATCCTGTCTTCTGCATGCATCCCAGCTGTATTAACAGCCCCCCTTCCAGTTTAGCAAGTCAGTCATCTGCAGGCTGTTTTGCAGGGTGCAGCTCCTTGCTCAGAACTGAAAGCAGTTGCACATCTGTATGTGGACCAGGCCAAGATCAGCTCTCTCAGTCCCTGCCTGAGGAAGAAGCAGAGGGAAAGGCGAAGAAAAACCAAATAATCTCTGTGCGTCTGTGAGTGGGGTTGATCAGCTGTGTATTATTTGGCACTAAATACTGAACTGAATCCGTTTGGGTTTCTCTTGGCCAGCTCGGTGTTGTTGGTATGTGGAAACCCATGGTTAAGGAGAGCACGGCTGTGACTAGATCCTCTGAGTGGACACCCCGCCTGCCTGGCAGCTGTGTTGTTAGTTTCTATTAGGAGCTGGGTCTATGGCAACTGTTACTAGCAAGATAGGCACATGATGTGCTCATAGATTGGCGGGATATCTGGCAGTTCCTGCTCAAGAAATATTGTTTTTGGTTATGAAAAAGTGTTGATTCCCTTCAGCAAGGCTTCATCACCATGAAAACTGGCACACTCTGCACCTAAACTCAACCATGGAAAATCTTAGAGGATGGCGGGAGGTGTGGGGCAGGATGGGGAGCAGTCCCTTCCAGACAGCAGGCTGAGAGAGGCTGGTTTGTTCAGTTCTTGGTCCTCTGATCTGAGAGGATCAGTGTCCTTCCTCTAAGAAAAATCAGAAAGAGGACCCAAGAGGAGGGAGGCATCCCGCTACTGGGATGGAAACTGAGATGTGGCCCCAGACTCAGGACCTCTCTGTCTAGGTCTGCGCTTCTATACCCTCTGAGTCAGGCCTTTTTCTGTGCTTGCGTTCTGTTTTCAGGTAGCCCCTGAGCGCTCCTCGTGGGAGGGTCCACAGAAGCCTGGCAATTGAACCCAACCCAGTTTTACCAGAGGAGTACCAACGAGTCAGATCCTCTGAAATCCTAACCCCTTCACCAAACCTGTACCACTTCATGGATGCCAAGGGCCCCATATCATTTTAACCCACCAACCATGAAATACCACAGTCTTCAGAAAGATGCACTCATATCCTATCCTTTTTAAATCCCTGACTGAGAGGAGTCAAACGCTTTTGCTGCCCCTGTCTGTCTGCAGTCCACCCGTCTCCTGTCCTCACTGCCCCAGGCTGGCCAGTGAACACCTAGTACATTCCATTTTCTCACCACCTTCCTCAGGAGGGATGCGTCCACCGGGCTGTGTCCTCATAACCCACCCCACTTCACTGGACATCTGATGTCTGCTCTGGGAAATGCTGCTCAAGCCGTTGTCTTCAGACCATCCTCGCTTGCTCTGCTTCCTCTGGCTCCTTTGCAGACCGGCATTTTAAAGTGTGCGTGCCTTTGCAGCTCCATCCTCCATCCTTAATAAGGATTTTCCAACTCCCCTTAAACCATAAAGTTTTGGTTTCTTCTAGTAAAACCCAAGAAACACCTGAAGTCGGCTAGTTCTTGGCTAAGAAAAACAACAAATCCAGCCAGATGATGGAGGTTCCTACTGCCCATGTACTGACCTTACTCTCCTTTAGCTGTTGGTCAGCCTTCTGCTTTGGAGGCTGGCAAGAGCCAGAAGTTCTAATGTGAGAAGAAAGACGGAAATATGAAGGAATTTTTAAAATAAAATATATGGTCTTCAGAGAGAAGTGGCAACTCTACACACATTGATTTTGAGGAATTCATTTTTGCCCATGATTGGTTTTTCTAATGAATAGAAGGATTCTAGTTGCTCAGATATATTTTTCTTTTTTTTAAGATTTTTTTTTTTTAATTGGAAAGTCAGACATACAGAGAGGAGAAGAGACAGGGAGGAAGATCTTCCATCTGCTGATTCACTCCCCAAGTTGTTGCAACGGCTGGAGCTGTGCTGATTCAAAGGAGCTTCTTCCGGTCTGCCACACGAGCGCAGGATCCCAAGGCTTTGGGCTGTCCTCCACTGCTTTCCCCGGCCACAGGCAGGGAGCTTGTGGGAAGCAGGGCATCAGGATTAGAACTGGCACCCATATGGGATCCCAGCACATGCAAGGCAAGGACTTTAGCCACACCAAGCCCCTGAGATATATTTCTCATGTATGGAGATGGTGTACTATCTTGAGCTTAGTAATTTTTTTTTATTGCTAAAAAGACACGTTTTGGTTATGTGGGTTGTGATTTGTAGCTTGAAGCCCTAGGTGAAAGGCAGTGGTCAACTAGGAGGCTCTATCTTGTGTGAAGTGCAGCGGTGTGGCCATTGTAACAGCCTCAGGCATGATTTGGATGATACAGACTGAGCTGGCTGCTTTGTGAGGTGGGTTCAGTCAATCAGAAGGTGAGCAGTTGCTTGCAATGGACGCTCTCATTCCGGCCCTTGACATCCATGAGAGCTTGGAATAAAATTGTCTCTGAGATTCTGCACGTGTTTCCATGATAGTTTTGCACAAATGAAGAGAAAATGGGATGATTGCCTTTCAGTGCACCCATCTTAGCTTTATTCTACCCTGGCTGACCATCTCTTTTTACCAAGCTTTGTCAGTTCGTGCAGAATGGGACCAAACAAATGTAGAGGCAGAGAAATCATCAAAATATCTCTTTATCATAATCATTATTCTCATGATACAGTCCTCATTAATATGAATATGTATATTCAGTGCATATATGTTAACCATATCCTCTTATTTGAAACATACAGATGTATTTTATTTCATGTTCCCACAGTGTCTTTGGGGTTATAGCCAAAAATAATCATCGACCAGATTTATCCTATCTGGCACAGACGCGCGTATCTTTGTAGAATGTGTGATATGTGTTTTCCGAGACTGTAGTTGTAATACTGCAGTAGCTGTCTCTTTGCCCAGTATGCTTAGTTTTCAGAATTAGAGACATGGAGTATCAAGTGCAGTGACTGGATGTTTGGGGGGATTTTTTGATAGAAAGTGCCAGCATCCTTCCCCTGGGGGGTTTTGATAAATAGTGCCAGCATGGATCCATGCCCCATGGATTTCAACTCACCTGACCAGCAAGGGATCTCTTCACCTTGTTGCCTCACATTTCTTTTAGTATAAACATGATCATCTTTTTCCTTTTGGTATGTGATTCATTTAAAAATACCTGTAATATCGTTTG